GCCAACCAGGGTATCGTTTTCAGCGATTTTACTCTGGAACTATGTATCGTTTTTAGCGATAGCAAAAATAATACAACAGTAGTTAAGTTATTCTTACCTTATTCATTGTGGTTTCTCTTAAACCTGTGAAAATATATTCACTGTCGACTTGTAAAAAGTGGAACAGATGAATGAGATGGGCTCCCTGTGGAAAAACCAAAAAGGATATGTGGACACTAGAAATTACATTAAATTCAAATACAATTTCAGTATCAATGATTTATTGTGATAATGATTATTATCATCATTGTTATTGCTTATTTAGGTAATGTTGATTGCCCATTGAAATTCGCAGCCTAAATAAATCGTTTGTTTTCTTGTAAAACATGTTGTTGTTTTTTTGTTTGTTTCATTTTGTTTGTTTGTTTTGTTTTGTTTTTGTTTTTGTTTTTTTTTTTACAACGGTTCAAGCAGGTTCTTGTATCGTTTCATCACATCTCGAGTTTATTTGCTTCATTTTTAAATTCGCTGTTGTTTTCTTTTTTAACGAGTTAAGGAAAATCCTTATTTGCTATTTTTGTGTGTGTCAAATTAGGGGTTGGGCAATTAGCAATTAGCAACCGCTAATTATACATCGTAATTAAAGAGTTGTTTTTCATGCAATAAAATAACAAACACAAGTTCATTCTGATTGGCTATGATATCTAAATATCGTTTAAATCAACTAACTGACCATTTTCTTCATTTGAAATCGCCGTTTAACTGACGAACGCCAGTCAATATCGGTTTGGTCGCTCACGATGTATCGCTACCTCTACAACAATCTCAATGTGTACACCGTTTTACCTCCCATTGGAACAAAGATAGAGAATTTTCAAAACTATAACTACGAAATATTGAACGTTTTGACTTTCCTTCGCGACTTGGAAAAGACCGCACCTCCTCCGTTCATTGTTCCACCAACGCCGAAATCGCAACCCATTCCAAAACCACGAAAAATACCATCGAGAATTATCTTAGAAAAACTGGAAACAGTTCCAAAGTTTGAGGACACGATCGACTTGGACTCTGATCCTGAACTACAGTTTTTAAGAGGTGATGTGAGCAATAGTTCAATAAGTTCTGAAGAAGAGCCGTATAAAGCAAACTATGASAACGAACCCGACTACCGAATGTCTCTTCCTGAATGGTGCAAAGATGCGGCCGCAGAAATCGAAATGAGAGTGAAGGAGAACGATTTTGATCACTACAAAGACTTTATCATTTCTTGCTRCAGTGGTGAAGATGATCAAGAGGAATTTCCTGGAAGATATATTAAGAGAATTCAAAACTATACCAGGACAATATAATTTGACAAAACTTACGAACTTAACGAACTTACCGCATTTAATAGTGAATTTCAGGTCAGTTTATAAATTTGATTCTTTCATCCCTTTATTTATTTATTCATTTATTTATTCATTTTCATTCATTCCATAAATTATCAACTTTTTACCATTTTATCCTCTGCGTATTATCAACGCAGTGTAATTCGGGTCAAACACCAGATTAGTCAACCCCACATTCAATTTTATTAATTCGTGTGAAGTAGGATGATGTTTTTCATATACCTGAAAAATATACTTTAGAGAATGCTTTTTATTTTGCACGTTTTTATTTGTCTTTTCAGTGTATATCATTTTGCACTTTCATTATTACAATTTGTTTCACGCGCTATGAATGAAAAGCACTCTTCATTTTGAACAGAAACTCGTACACAGTCAGTTGTTAGCAAATGCTCAGTCGAACGCAATGGAGTCAAACGGCCTACTTTTACATGTACTTAATTCAAAGAATTCAATGCCAATTGGTAAGCTACGACGTTTAGCTTACGCACTTAGACCAGGATTTAGGATTTATATCGTTACATAGCTTTACATCTTTTTCTAGTAAACATACGAAGCTATTTCAAAAAACGCTGAGTCTGAAGAAAGTGATTTTGAGTACCGAAATGCGTCGTTAGTCATTGTATCACCGCTCTAAACGAGGTTACCACTATTTCAGAGTGACAATCCCATATTTAAGTCTTTTTTACACTAATCGTTACTTTGTTATCGCGCAACTCAAAATGTACGTGTAAACAGCCTTGCGATTGCTGCGACGATGGAAAATCGCCCCGACGTTGCAGCCAGTTTTCAAACATGTTCGAAACTCAGGCGATGGTCGCGCGACGATCGCCGCAAGAATCGCTCTGCAAAAATCACAAGTGTAAACGGGCCTTTATAAGAAATGCAAAGCAAATTAATTGACATTTCGGAATGCATTGCGCATGAATGTGGCAGGCAATGTGGCACTGTTCTGCGGTCTTGGAATACGAACGTTACCCTGCATAACAACTCTAGTACGCAAAATATATTTTGAATAGATGTATGAAATAGTATTTTTACCTGGATAACAATTGGTGTACAAATTAAGCTTTGTGTACAAGTCAACTGGACGAAGAAGAACGGCTTGGACGCATCAAACATACTAAGGATAGAGTGAGAACATTACATTGTATGAAACTTGTCAATATCATTCATTGTTCCAAGCGTCAGTTTTATCAGAAAACGTTGAATACTGAAGCATAGTGTTATCCAACACCACAATGCATTGGACGGCATATCACTGAGCTTAAAATGTAGCAGAGTTTTTAATTTCAAAGTTACTATATTCCAGCTCTGTACCATCCACCAATGGAAAGTAGTTTAGTACAGATTTGTCATTTTAAGTGAGCGTAAAAGCACAAGTGATGCAATAATTTTTAAATATAACATAACACTTTTGTAAAATGTAATCACATTAAAACTGAAGATGGCTATATGAAAGTCGAAAAATGTCTTTGAAATTTAAAAGTGTTGTGTTATTTAAAAAATAATAATTGTCATTTTGTAATACCATTTAGCAAATTATAATGCACTTCGTCTTGGAATATGCTATCCCTAGTATATTCAGTACTCAACATATTTATTTAATATATTTATTTATAAATTATTTATTTGTTGTATATACTTGTAGATCTCACATGCACAAATTTTCATGTCATTTGACATACTGTAATGCATGGTGAAGAAGCTTTTCATATCATAAACTTAAGTTCCACCATTAATACATGTACTAAAATATAATTATGCATATATATGCAAGACTGGTTTCATTTTAATAATTGAATATTGAATTTTGTGAGGAATTATGGGATTCTTGTAGGACGCTCCGTTAGCTTGTTCATATAATAGTCTCCTTTACGGTTCCCTGTGCCATATTAAAAGATAGCCGTGTGTTTACATTGAAGAGAGACAACTATGAGTGTACAACGATAGATTCCTATGAATAATAATGTTTGTAAGGTGTGAAATAAGGTTTCTATCATCGGCCATCTCGTTTCGATGCAAAGGCACAGCTACCTAATAAGATGGTGCAGGGAGCCGTGAAGAAGACTGTTCTTTATGAATGTCCCAGTGTCTTCAAGTAAATACATTGAGACCATGATTTAATGGCCTTTCTTGTGTCATACTTTGCTTACCTATGAACAGGACTAACAGCTGTAACTTTGCCATGTAACTTTACTTTTTGTTTCGCAGTACTAAGAAATATGACAATAAAATATTATTTTAGTATTTAGATTAAATAATTTAAATTAATAAATTGTATCAATCAATGAAAAAATAATAAAGCAATTTATTTGTATATATCAGAACTGGGTGCATTATTTATAATGTTGACTGACCAACTGTTGATTGATTGATTAATTGATTGATTGATTGATTGATTGATTGATTGATTGATTGATTGATTGATTGACCTTTATTGTTCTTTTGTCTAACACTTCCTTTGCTTCTCTTGTTTATTTCTCGTTACCTTGCCTACCTTGCTCCTATTGGTCTATTTTCTTTGCTACTCTTACTATATAAACTCACACTATACCTAGTTCCATCTCTTTACTCCGACGAACAATTAATGTCTGAAACATCAGTAAGTTATTTCACATACTTTTTTTACGGTGTCAAATTTATCTTTTTACACAACTGATTGATTGACTGATTTATTTATTTATTGATCATTGGGCATCTACCTTTGATGGTTCTGGTATTCAGTAAGTGAAAGGCACGGAGGAGCAATCAATGAACTAAGATTTGCATTATCAACTTTCGCTAGCACTGGAAGACACCCTTCGTTTGCTTCAATGTATCCATGTTGTTCAAGACAAGTTGAAGTGTGACAACCTAGAACAATAATAAAAGACTATATAATTTTGACTAATATTGTTCAAAAGTCTTAACTCTTTACATTATCAGCATACAAGGGAGAAAAAAGCATCAACTGTTAGAGCTGTCTATAGACAAGTTCGAGAATGAATGGTCTAAACATGGTATAAGCAATGTAGGTGTGATAGAGCGGATTTCGTATGAGTGGGAAACGGACGGTACTGTACTGTGTCCGTAATCATACTGTAACCAAATTCTAGTGCCCCATTGTTTCACCAAAATTCTGCAGGCCAGGAGCGGTAACTGTGCAGTAACCATGCGGTAACGGTGTCCCACTCATACAAAATCCGCTCTATGATTGTCTTGATGTGAGAGGTCTTGAGAGAGACTGTTATAGATACCTGGCATTTCCATATCCTGCATGAAAGTTTTCTTCAGAGTGATAAAATGAACAGACAGAGTCAGTATATATCTGAAGATGGTTTCCATGCAGGATGTTGAAACATAGGTAACTATAACAGTCTTTGTCAAGACTTTGCACACCCAGACGATCATATCACACCTACTTGACAGACAAGTTCCATGTTATTTGTGTCACAAGATTTTAAGAATATGCAGCGCAATAGCTCCTGGTTAAAATTTGTTTTTCAAGTAAGATATTGTTCATTTTATAGAACATTAATGATAGTATTTTTCATGGTTCCCTGCGGCATATTGAAAGGTAGCCATGCCTTTGCATCAAAGCAAGATAAAAGTTTAGCGTGCAATGATAGAAACCTCCTTTCACACCTAAACACAGTTATTCACAGGTATCTATCTATTGCAGGCTTAATGGTCGTCCTCTTTCTTCAATGCAAAGGCACAGCTACCTTTTAAGCGGCACATGAAACCACAAAGGAGACTATTAAACAGTAGTAAGCATCTTCTTTCCTAACAGTCAAGAACAATGGTAAAATATTAGAAATTTACTTTGGTGCAAATGGTCAGGAGGAGGTACAAATGTCCAGCTTGGAAGAATGACAAGTTGGTCTAAAGATGACTGATCGGGATTGAATACCTGTAACAAAGAATATTTTATGAATAAATATTTTCTTTATTTTTCAATCATAAGCCATAACTAAGGTTTTATCAACAATAAGCTAAGAAAATCCAGATGCTACCAGAAAGAAAAACTATTGCACAAATGGCAGAAACCCAGAGGCTGTTTAAGAGGGTGTAGGGTAGATTTGTTCAAAGCGAATATAACAGGGAAATAAGTTTCTCCTCTCCCAATTTCTCCACACCCAGCTCATCACCCCATAGATTTCCAAGTATGTTGTACACAGGATTGTATAAAAACAAGTGGGTGAAGTTATCCACTAGATAGGAGCTACATGTACTATGTGAACTGCACAGTCAGATTTTACAACGTGACATTCAATCAGAAAGTATCACTGTGCTATTGATAAAAAAGGAAATTGCACACAAGAGCAATAAAAGAAAACTAAATGGAAAACAGATAGCAATGTTGCATTGTCTCACCTCAATGGGCAAGCATCCAGAGTTGTCTTCAAGAAACAGAGAGCCACACAATGGAGTATCTTTCAACGTAATTTGAGATGGACAACATCTTAAATATCCAAGAAGGAATGACGGGGCTCTTGGTACTAATGTTCTGCAATCTAAAAGTTATAAGAAAGATTACACTTGCGCTATCGGTTAGTGCACGCTATCGGTGAGCGTGCATGCATATTTAAAGTAACGTACACAACGAATGTTAATCTTGTAACTGAGGAGGTTTAATAAAAYGAAACTAGTTTTACAGACAAGATACAGATTTGTTACTTTTAACATGTACCTTTCAATTCTTCCAAGCTACTTGGTATGCATTCGTTATTGCCAGCAACAGCAATTTGTCCAGCAATTATATCTTTGCTCTTGATTAAATCCGCGACACACAGTAATTCAAATAATGCATTGCTGTGTGMCTCAGTAACATCGTCATTATCAGGTTCGTTATCAAYTCTTTCAKCCTGACTACCACCATAATCAGCAGCATCATTAGYTGTACTGATTTCMTTCTCGTCAGTYTTTCCTGCCTTTGCTTTAAGATTAGTAAGACATTCCAATACAGACAATGAAATATCGAAATTGTTTTGACTAGAAGAATCCTTACAAATGTAYGTCTGGATTTGGTTAGCAAGCCTTTGAAGCCATTCTTTTTCCTATACATATGTACAAAGAAAAACGAAGAAGGATTGTCAAGATTGCATAATTTTGCCAAGGTTTTCCAATGGGGGGAAGGGTGGGAAACAGGTGTGATAACCTAACAACACTGAAAAGTGCAGAAAAAAAGAGCAGCTAAAATGGTTATACAGTAAGCTATTGATGCACAATCATGCATTTGCGACAATTTTATACTTTCTGAGTCCTTGGTCCTTTAATCATCCTGTCCCTTTCCATTGCATAATTGACAACCTCATTAAAAAAGCTTCCCTTACTATCTTCCCATAATACCAGCCCACCCAACCTATATATGGATGCTCTCAGATTATGGTCCATGAAAGAGTTGTTACTGCTGAAACATCTTTCTACGATGAGGAATCGGTAGATGGGCTCAGCTGTTGATAATATCATTAGCTCGGGTCTCCTTAGCATTCTGCCTATGAGGGGSAGTCAACGAGTCAAAACCAAAATCAGGGAGGGGAATGTAGAATGGTAGCATAGAAGTCCACTTATAACTTATAACTGACCTATGATTTCATTTTGCGATAACTGCAGGCCTAAGCCCTTGTGTATGGCATGCGCTACACAAGTTCCCACTTAGCCACCGTCTTAACCAAAAATTTTGGTAATACAATTTGTTAATTCTGCTAATTTTACCTCTTTTGAGCCTCCAATGTTACATAAATCGTAAGCTTTGAGAAGAAATGCATCCATTTTCTATAAATTTGGATGTTGACCACCAAAAGATATCATTTTCTACGCGCAATTTTCGCGCACTTTGCACTTTAGCGCGCTAGACATTTGAAAGTTTGGATAAAGCGTATTACTTCATGTGAGCAAAAGTATGTGTCTAGTTGTAATGATTCATGCCAAGTGAACGAAATGTTTTCAATAAATGAAGTATCATGCTATTTTTTAGGTGATACTGCTGATCAATAACACTGGTGACTAATAACAGGAAGCCCAATAATATAGGGCAACGCAGTATTTCCCTCGTTTTTACAATTTTAATTTCTACCCTGAAAAATGAAACAAAATCATACTAAATTACATTTATTTTTAATATTCTGAATTCTTCTGATTTTCAAATATTTATTTACTAGAATTACAAGATTAGGGTTTCCTGTGCTGTTTACTAATGCGCATGCGTAGATATTATTATGTCGAAATGTCACCGTTTCCGACGTGACGATTTTTCTCTTTTTTAGATGTTTTTTAATAATGGGATTTTATATTTATGATTCGTTTTTCTATCAAATTCCTGGCCCCGATACTGCTCTCCAAGATGGCGGTGGCGGCTGCTTCAAATAAGGTCTCATTTAGATGTGCAACGTTTAACATCTTGGCTCCATGTTACCGGCGATTAGAGTGAGTCGATGTTTTTTAAAATGCAATGTTTGACGCAAGCTTATCACAACGCAGGGAATTATAGAATTTTTAATGAGCTGTTTGTGTGATACTTTTGTAGTGCTTTTGTTGTTTACACGAAATCCAATAATCTTTGGCGGTCAAATGAACACCGAGGAGGATCATGGTGAATTTCGTTGTAATTTAACCTATTAAGCTTAAATTTGATATTTTTGGACGCAGTTGATCCGTGAAACAAGTTTTACTGATTACTACTTGATAGTATTGATTAGACAACTGAAAATAGTTTGTTTAATCTTCTACTATATACATCACACTTATTCCATTCCCATTTCATTCATTTGTTTTCATTTATTCACAGAGGCCAGTATAGCAAATGGGAAAGTTCACAGCCTAACCTATATATGGAGAGATTGCAGTCAATCATCCAGCTAATTTCCCAACAACCTAAACTGGACACCATATGTTTGCAAGAGTTTTGGTTTAATAGTGATGCATTGGAATTGTTTGAAAATAAGCTAGGTGATAGGTAATCAATATTATGTACATGTACAATGTACACTTGCTTGTATGCATCTTGTCAGCTAAAAAAGGGGTCTAAAAAGCTAAGACCCTGACGTTATAGACCTGACTCGTAAGCTTAAGGGCCTGAGGTCGACCAAAGTAAGACTATATACATGTTACATTTTTAAAATTGTGTGATTTGTTACAGATATAAAATTATCAAGTTAAAAAGACAAGGAGAGAAAACAGATGGATTGGCTATATTTGTTGACAGATCTCTAAGGTTACTGTAATGTGTGAATGATAACAGATTATATCTATAATCATGATATGTAACAGTTTATTGAGTTAGAGGGCTAGATGGGAAAATATTTGCCATAAGATAATGCCATCCTATATAGTAAAGTTTCCAATCAAAAAGCAGATGAACAATTAGTTGAAATAGTTGAATGTAAATTCTGTTATTTCAGGATCCTTGCAACACAGTCTTTAAGGTTTAATGACTATGGTTACAGAGTCGCTCTACTTTTACATTTAGAATTACCAGACAATGGGTATGAGGTATGTCTACATGAGAAATAATAATGTTGCTGATGTGGCCAAATACCAAATACTGCTGTGTGCAGGGTTCTCAGTAGAAGCCAGCAGCCAGCGAAAATCGCCAGTTTAGCTTAGTTAATCGCTGGCTACTTACGAATTTATTCGCAAATTATTTGGATGTACTTTTCCTATTTTGACGGGTACTTTTCCTATTTTGACATCTACTTTAAATTTATTTCTACTGAGATCCCTGTGTGTGATGTCATGTCTGCATGACTTTTATACATGAGTTAAATCCATTATATAAAAATTTCATTCAATTTATTAATGTTTTTTTCAGGTTATATTAACAACAACTCATTTATCCTATTGCCACAACTTTTTTGATCAATATGTCCGAATGGTATGTGCTATCTATTGCTGTTATTTTTGGTGTAACAGTAAGAGTTCTTGAGTGTGCATGTAAACAACTTTTGAGATTTAAAAATCTTTATTCATTCTCCAGTCTCAAGCACAAAAAGTTGTAGATGGAATAAATAGCTATATGGAAAGGTAAGACCTAAATACATATTTTAGTCAGAAGCAGTTAAATTGTTCATTATATTTCCCGGGTCAATTATTGATAAAGCATTAGAAACTATCCCTTCTCTTGCAGGGATGACRTTGAAGCACCGCCTRTAATCTTGTGTGGAGATTTTAACAGCCCACAAGAAAACCCTGTTTATAAATATGTTTGCCAAAATGGTTTTACGTCRTCATTTAAGAATGTRCATGGAAGAGAACCACTTGTCACTCATAAGGACCACACTGGTCAGGAAATGTCTGTTGATTATGTATTTTATAGGTAAAGATTGATTGATTGAATGATTGATTAGTTGATTGAATGATAGTTT